TGTAGCCGAGAGATTTTCACGAAAAAATGCCGGCAACAGCAGATTTTCGACTCAGACCTCAAAGGGGCGTGGCATTATAACCACGTGACATTTACTCCGATCGCCAAAAATTTTATGTTATATTGTAGATTGATCTATATGTTATCCATTCTATGTGTTAGATTTACGATAAAAGTATAGGTGGGGATACCAGAGAGCTTCAAAGTAGGATGGTACCCCCCCCAAAAAAACTGGGTCGAGTCACCTTAAGTTAAAGATACGCTACTGGAAATGAGTACGCCAACTCTCACAGCGCTTGATTAGAAGAGTGATGAAACGTTTCGTAAATATGCTTTTTTCCCTTGTTTTTTAAATGAAAATGCACGGGATGATACAGTGGAACCTCTCGTGAGCGACTATACAAAATGTGGACAACACGGGAAGTGGTCGCTTACAAGAATCAAACTACAGGAGTGACTCTTTTGAGAAGGGGTCTTCAAAGATCTACTTAATTATTTTTTTGCATGCGATATGCGTAATTCAATGTTTTCACTGAAACTTTTCTGCATACTCTTAGTAGCGTAGCACATATCGCGAACATGGGTTGGGAATGGTCGCTTACAAGGGCTTAAACTGACAATGGAAAATTATAAAACCGTCACCCCAAACTGTGGCCGACGTCGCTTACTAGACGTGGTCGTTTACAAGAGGTTCCAACTACAGAGCTCTGACTGGGAATTTTTTTTAATGGGTTGTCGCTTACGAGAGGTGATTGCACATGGAGGTTCAGATTTCCTTTTCGACCTGCGGTCAACTAAAAAAAACTATGTTGGGCATCTCAAGCTATAGGAATTCCTAAATACCTCCAAACGACCAACTTTCAGTTTATGGAAGGTTCAGCCCCGATTTCACGGAAGGCAACAGAGGGCACTTTTTAAACGCCCCGCAGAAACCATCTGAAGGCCATACAGGTGCAGCTTGAAATCATCACGAAAATCACACGGAAATACCTTTGCTCCTAGACTAACATCCTAAAAGAGTCGAATTCAATAATTGTTTTTAATTCATTCAAAATAATTCGCATTTCATACTGGCTGTAAAATCAAAGTAAACCATGCTTACCTCGATCGATGTAGAGTTTCCTTCGCCTGTTCCCTAGAAAATCCAGAAGTTGTCATCCATTGAGTTGTATTTTTTTGTCGTTGCTATGTTTTTAGCCGGTAGTGCGCCTACTTTCTCTTCTTGTGGAGTGTGAAACTTTTCCCCCCATTTTCTCTGGCAATATGCCAAAGCAGCTGAGAGGAGCTGAGCAAACGTCTCCTAATTCTAGGGCTTCTCGGTTGCAAAGCCTTTTTTGGCAATACCCTGCACCTTTAATGTCGATTTAATTGATGAATATCGCAAACGTCTTCCAAATATGGTTAACGCTGGTTGGATAGACAGGGTATTGGCCAGACCTCAAAACGGTGGAAACCGGTGTGTATCCGCGCCTGATATTATCTCTGGTGTATTAGCCAACCATCACGAAATTTACATTTGATCTATATAAACTAAAGCATTGTTCTAACTACAATGAGGGATATTTAGTCAATTCAGTATTCATTATCATGTTTTACTGTCAAGGGGTTTTAGCAATTCTCCGGCCCATATGCGCCTAGTATGAGACTCGAGCGGCAAAGTTGTCCCTGAGTTGACGAAATTATTAGTCGAAAAACGTTGAAAACGGGCTTCATTTCACGGTGTTTAAATTTAATGTTACTCCATCTCATAAAAAATATATAGATATATATATATATAGATATATTTTGTGCGTGCGATCTTAGCCGCCGCGGTAATAGAGTACTAAAGTGTGACGTCATAAAAATGAAATTTCTGAAATTATGGCATTTATCAGGATATTCTGAAAGAACAATGCCCAAGAGGCCTATCTGCCAAAAATGAGCATTTCTGGGCAAATTGTCCCTGAGATCGTAGCCCAGTTATGCTTAGAAAACTCCATACAAACCCTTCTAAATTTTTTTTGGGTCGACCCAAAAAAAAATTAGAAGGGTTTGTATGGAGTTTTCTGATTTTAACCGGCTAATATCTCAGAGACAATTTGCCCCGAAATGCTCATTTTTGGTAAGTAGGCCTCTTGGACATTGTTCTTTCAGAATATCCTGACAAATCCCATAATTTCAGAAATTTCGTTTTTATGACGTCATCACTTTAGTACTCTATTATCGTGATCGGTCAGGTGACGCAGACGGTCATGGTTTTACATGATCAAACCAAGCAAATGTTCATTCCTTATAATTTCATTGATGAGGAAAAATAATTTTCAATTTAAAAAACCATTGTATGCTTTATAATCTCTATTTTCAGCAGACCACAAATTTAGTTTTTTGGAAAAACATTGCTATCAATTTTTTTTTCAGCTTTCGAACGTATCACTCGACACTGCGTGGTACGGAGTATGTCTAAATGTCGCGGGTCGCGACTCGCAGGTAGAGGTCGCGGGTGCGGGTGCGGGTTAGGGTCGCGGGTAAACAAATCACCAAATTCAACATTAAATTATCAATAAAATAAAGGAAAATTTGATTATGTTTCAAAGAAGATTTGCAATACTTTTTTTTGGTCCATAGGTCATAACGAGGAAGTCTAGTTATTACCGGGGCCCAGCCGAAGGCTGGCACCGGTCATAAAATGCAGACGGTT